TTCCTGGGCTCCCCCCCCCCCCCCGCCTTAGTGTCACTACACCTAGAGTAAGAGAAAGCCATAATACTATGAACACAGTAAGAAAATCCTGCCAACTCAAGACTGCAAGACTTGAGTAAGTGTTTAATTTCCACCTTCTGTTAAAAAGTATCTCACTTTATGTGACCAAACTCGGGTTGCCTGCTGGCTAGTTTCCAACTGGACTGATCCATTTTATTAGGAGCTACTACTACAGGCAGACTGATCTACAGTAGTAATTTGCACTACATTTTTGAACTGGATGCAACCCTGAGCACAGCGTCTATTAACCAGAAGATGCCAAGTCCTTGACGAATTTCACATCTTTAAAAACTAGCAGCAGAGGTTCTCTCTGCAGGGAGAGAGCAGGGCTTCTGTTTTTGCAGGCACTGCTACCTTCCCTTACCACAGCAAAAACTCGTAGGAGCAATAAGTTCTGATCAAATTCCAGCTCGTGTTTAGTTTACAATGTAAGCTTGATCTCACACCAATGCTATTTTAATTTAACCAGATGGGAGAACATCATGTCTCTCTTTCTGTTTTAAACTCCAGGTTAGGAAAGACAGTGAATTGTCCTGGTGTGGAACAGACTAAAATCTACCATCCAAAAACTATTCCCAATTTCTCTGAAGTTGAGACAATAAGAAATTAGCTACTTTCAGAGAGGTGACACTGTCTTTAAAGGCTGCAGCTTCTCAGGTCACACTAAGATTGATTCAGCACATGCTCTACAGCTGTATTGTGAAAGCTGGACACATTCCTTAAACATGTAAAAAGCAGCCTCTGCACATTGACCCTCCTCGCCTCCATAGTGAAAGTCAGGTTCACGTAAAAAAAATTAAAAAAAAAAAGGGGGGGGGGAGGAAACCCTAACAGAACCTGGCACTAGAGAAGTGAATTGAGGTTGCTGCTCCTACTAATGGGTAAAATGGTAAATTACACAGCTTTCCAGTGAAACACCAGCAAGCTAGAAATGACCGATCCCAGATCAGTGTGTGTGTAGCACACCTCTTGCTACCTTCCGAGCTCTGCCTGAAACCTTCACAGCTGCTATTCTTTCTCAAATGCACACAGCCTGCACTTTCTTCTGCTTTTGCATTCCTTTGATCCTTTTATGCCATCTGACTGTTAATTGCTGACATGTATCAACCTCAACATAAGGGCTGCCTAATTAACTTTGCCAGTTTCACCACGTCTCTGCCATGTGATTAATTAGCCCACTGTTCTGCCACATGGCAGACTCGGCTTGAATTTGGTTCATCAGTGGCGTCTGCTTAGGCCGTTATCACTTGCAGAGGTCCTCCTAAGGCCTCCAAGAAGGTCCTAGGGGCATCTGCATCATGCCTTCCTCACCACCTCCAGCGCCAGCAGCCACAGGGGGAACTCTTCCCGCGCTGGAGCCTCAACAGGCGAGCGGCGCTGCCTCCAGCCCCGAGCGCAGGCAGGGGCGCAGACAGGAAAAGTGACCAGAGCACAGCGTGTTCTGGCGCTCCTCGCTCTGGCAGCTGCCGAGAAGCTGCTGCCTGAGGACATCCCTCCCAGGCCTGCGCTAATTTATGCCAGAAGTGGCTCCGGGCTCTCGGACGGCCTCGCAGAGACACAGTGGAAAATTGTCAGAGGCAGCGCATGGAGCGAGGCCCCAGAGCTCACGTGCCTGCAGAGCCACGCGCACCCCTGCGCTCCTTCCAGCATCACCCCAAACGCAGGCTCTGCCCTCTCGCCTGCCAGCCTGCTTCCCAGGATAGCTGTGGACCTCTTCTGCCCCACCTCTCCCCAGGACTCACACCACTGGCACGGTGAAGGGAGCAAGGGGCACGTATGAGGAGCAGCAATAGGAAAAAGACGTAAAGATGCAGCTCATGGTGCCAGCGGGTGCAACTCCACACCACCACCGCGGGGCTCAGCACAAGGACCAGCGTGTTGGCTGGACGAGGGTTTCCTCAGCGTGTCTTACGGGCTCGTCCAGCGTTGGCGTTAGCACTGGGCGCTCAGGAGGCTGCGGGTGCTCTTACCCCCCCTCAGCCGGGCCCCGCGGCGGTGTCCCCGCCGGGGCCAGCGCCCCCGGGCCCGCCTCACGCCCTGAGCCCGGGGCGCTGAGGGGGCCCGGCCGCAGGCCGGAAACCCGGCGG